TTGAAACAAGAGCCTCCTCCTCGAGCCTAAGATCAGAGCTTCAGTTCTACAACGACTCTTCTACGAAGGACTCTTCAGGGGTTTAGGAACTAGGCTTTAGGGTTTAGGGGTTTAGGAATTAGGGTTTAGGAACTAGGGTTTAGGGGTTTAGGAATTAGGGTGTTGGAACTAGGGTTTAGGGTTTAGGGCTTTAGGAATTAGGGTTTGGGGTTTTGTATCCGAATCCGCAGATTAAAAAAGACCCAAGCGCCCCGAAGCCCAGAAACGGCTGTTGACATAAAGCCAATCCCAGAGAGCCCAATACCCCTTAATTAAGGAATATACCTTAAATCATTCGTGGCTTGATATTGCGATGTTAGCTATATTCCTTAATTAAGGGGTAGGTATTGGAGCCCCACAAACCCTAAAGGCCCCATAGAATTCCTACTGTTCCTACTGCTCTAGCTAATTTTGCCAGCAGTCTGCGGATATGTATGTTCTTAACACCAAAAAAATTGCTGCATGACTGAAGTCGGGTTGAACTGCTCCGTGTGGCTGCGATTAATGCCGAGAGCTGCAGGACTTGCAGACGTGGCCGGTGCCCGGGGATGTAGTACGTAAGCTTTGCATACTTGAAGGGTACTGGACGCAGAAGAGCGGCTGGCCGTTGCAGGGCCGCCGATGTTGGCACTGCTTGCCACCTTCAAGCAAGTGTAAGGTGTCTGAGTTAAGGTCCTCCCATGCAAATGCATATGTGACGGCATGGGACATAAAACATTCTCTTACCCAAAGTCTTCTGCAGTCTAGGGTTGTCTGTCAGACGCGATAGTCTTCCAAACAGGATCCTGCGCTAGACAAGGTCTATAGGATCCTTGGCTTGGCGCTGTCTGGCTTATATGCTTCTGCTTGTATGTATGCATGTACGCATGTATGCATGTGCAAAAGTATACATACGTATATGCGTGCATGCATGTATGTGTGTATGCGCGTATACATGCGTGCCTGCGTGGATGTACGGATGTATGTATGGATGGATGGATGGATAAATGGACGTACGGAAGTACGGATGTATGTATGTATGTATGTATGTATGTATGTATGGACGTATGGAGGTATTTATGTATGCATGTATGTATTTATGTATGTATGTATTCATGCATGTCTACACACGTGTGCACGAATGCTTTGGTGCATGTATGTCTGCATGCATGTATATGTATATGTCTATGTCTGCGTCTATGTGTGTGTGTATATGTATGTGTATCTGTATATGAATATGAATACATACACCTGTAAAGCTCGCACATCTGTGTTATAGCTCGTTTTGTATGTGTATATATATATATATGTACACACACGTATATATATATATATATGTGTAAACACATATAGATATAGATATCTCATGTGCACATACACCTTCGAACCTTGGAAGTCCTATCGGACTATGGCGCCTGTGTATGCATATGGTCCATGCGCGCAATAAGTCGGTTAAGGACGATCAGTGCTGGGAATATCTGTACTTGACCTGAAGGGCATGAGGACAATTATGTTCCAAGCCTCTGGCTTACATCTTGTATTAGAATAGGAACCCTATTCTAGCAAATTTTTATCATTCAGACCCCTATAAACCCCGAACATCCCAAACCCTCATCCCCGAAACCCTAAACCCCAAAACCCTAAATCCCAAAACCCTAAACCCTTTTTGAAATTTTAGGCCGGTCACCAGCAGCTCCGGTCGGGAGAGACCCAAGAAGCGCCCCGCTGCGAGCAGCACACAAAGGTGCAAGCCGTAGAGGGCGATACCTAGCAGTGTAGGGTTCCCTAGCCCAAGGGTCCAAAGTACCTATATGGTAGAATGTCGGGTTTCTATATCAGGAAGTACGATTATGATTTGGGCAAGTATCCCCCATAACAGTACATAGGACCCTTTGGGCTAAAGGGTTCCCTAAAGGGATCTATAACGGATCTGTAGAGGTATAGAGTTTAAGGTTTAGGATTGAGAGTTGAGGATGTAGTGATCTCCTTCCAGTGTTCCTTAAAGGGCTCCTTAAACTCTCTAAGGGATCTGGAGGAGAGGAGGGTTTAGGGTTTAGAGGTTTAGGGTTGCGGGTCTAGGGCTTGCAACCAACGCTGCCTATCCTTGGATTGCTGTATGGTCGTGGAAGCCGGGTGGGTCCCCGCTCCTAGAAGATTCCCCTGATATTGTTTCTGCTACCCTGAACCACCGCTCAAGAGAATAAAACTAGCCCAAAAGCTCCATGGACTCATATAGTAGGTACTTTTGCCTTAAAGTCCCTGTCTAAACGACTAGCCCTAGACCCTATAAACCCAAAACTCTAAAACAATGAAGTAGTTGTTGGATGATCGAGTTTGGAGTCTTGCCTTGCCCAGGCTGTCCAACAGCCTTAACCCTAAAACCCCTAAAGCCTAATTCAACATAGATCCTAATCGGTCCTAACTCCTCGTCCTAACCCTACTGAAACCCCAGACTCTAACCCCAAACTCTTAGCCCTACATCTGAGTGTCTTTTCTAAATCCTTCATCTGAGTGTCATTGCTGGAGGCTCCGGGTTCGGATGCTTGCTTTCCTTACCTTTGGTTAATGGGGAATGGAGGAATGGGGAACAATTATAACTACTACGGTTGATGATATAAACCCTGCATTTCCTTAACGGCCCTAAACTATGGGAATTATGGTATAGTCCTTATTATGGGTACTGCAGGATCTATATCATCAACCGTATTACTACCATTCTTCCCTACTAACCAAAGGTAAGTTTCGAGGCAAGCTGCCGAAATCAATTAGAGGACTGAACTTGATGAGCGTCAGGAATTCCACCGCCCCCACCGTAAAGCCTCAGCAGGCTCAAAGCTTTGAGAGGTTCCAGAGTGCTTAGAAAATTTGTCGGTTTAGAGTACAAGTTTCGAGATTTGGGAGCTGAAGAAGTCGGTTTGGGGTTTATAGGGTTTAAGTTTAGGGTTTGGGGGCTGGAGGGTTAGGGGTGAGCCACGCCACCACCCAAGGAACCGGGTTCTGAATTCCCGTAGGACTTGGGGTTTGGGGTTCAGCCCCCTCAACTAAAACTGAAATCAAAGATCCACGACCCCATGCCCTTGACCTACTCCTGTAAGACCAACTTCGATGCCTGGAGAAGGTTCAGGAACGGTACAAGTTTAGGCAAAAGCTGAGGCTTAAGGGTGTAGGTTTTGGAGTCATGCCTCTCTCTTCTTCAACAACCGCGCCCCAAAAAGTTCAAACTTTCTAAGAGAGAGCTAATATATAAGGCTGAAAGTTGAATTGCTTGGCCGAAACAGTGAGTGGCTGGCTTGATGGAAGCCGCTAGGCGAGGCTTCAGAGTTGTTCGATACAGGGTTATCTGTGTAGTTTCCAAAATTAGGGTCCCCTTTGGGTACCTTAAATACTAGGTGCCGTAGTATATTAAGGACCCAAAAAAGGAACATCATTTTGACAACAACCCATATAGGCTTGTGGAGCTTAAGGTCCGGAGCTCTGACATTCGGAAAGAAGTGTCGGTTTCAGGCCTCTTGCGGGTCGTCCTGCAAAGGCTTGGACGTCACTTGAATTCAAACAACAACAAGCATTTCAAGCTGAAGATACCCGTTCAGGGTTGAGGGAGCATGTTCAACAGATTTTAGGATTCCCCCTGAGGTATGGGTCGTAGCGGCCTTATGAGTCCTTGATAACGTTTGGGTCACGGTAAGGCTCAGGGCTTGAGGTTTGAGGAGGTCTTGGTTATAGCAATCCGCAATTTACCCTGGTACGTAGTCCGTGAAGGACCCATATTAGTAACCCTTATAGAACTCGAAGCTTTTCGGTTGCCAGTTGTTTAGCCTGGAGTCAGAAGAGTTTCGGCACCTTACGGAATCCTGCGGAGAGTGCGCGGGCTACATCTGGCTTGAACTGACTATGATGATGGTGCTGAAGATGGTTATTGTTGATATCAAAATTCTGAGAAGGCACCGGCGGAAGCGAAGTAGATGTACAGCCTCAGCACGCAGAACTTCTTCGAGCGTCAGTGCAGCTTTACGCAACTTCACAAGTAGATAACGAGAAAGGAAGGTACCCCGGCCAAATAATGCACGCACACCCCAAAAGAGTACACCCTCCATGTTCGCACACAGTGTGAAGCTTCAAGTGAGATGCGGAAAATGTCAAAGGCTTGGTCTTCAGGGTTCGTTGATGTTTTTTTTTCGAGGGGGGTTCCAATAAATTCAGGCTTGGGGCTCAAGTTCGGCTTATGATGCTTGTCGCTTTGGGCTCACACGAAATACACAACTGCAGCAGTCACCGCTGTGTGAGTCGGCAGATAAAGCACAGATGGTGTTGTATTCCAGGTGCTCAGTGCACCGCTTGGACATTCTTGCAGCGTCGGCTGCGGTCCAAGCATCCAAAACCGCTGTCAACTGAATGGCTGAGCAACATATTTCGCCCTTGCAAGAGCAAGGGTTTCGGTTTAGGGTTTAGGTTCTGCAGCGTCTCGAGATCAGCGGACACCTCCTGACGTCTGCAGCGGGTTGCCCTAACTCTCAGAAGGCAAGAAGTGAATAACACCCCCAAACAATCTGTAGGGTTCAGGGTTCAGGGTTGAGGATTCAGGGTTTAGGGTTTCCCTAATGATCGGTTATTCCGGCTCTGTGGGATTGATCCTGCCGGGTTTGCGGATGGTAAGGAATTGCCGGGTTGCCGGTTGCCGGGTTCCTGGGCTCCCTGTCTCCCTTTGTCTCCCTTCATGTGTCTCTATCTGTGGGTGGCCATTGCCGATTGGAAAAGGCATCGTTTTCGTAGGAAACGGAGTTGTGAGTTTGACCTCAAGTCCAAAGCTCCTGCTGCAGACCATACCCCACATTCTCTGCTGAGGCCCTGCCGTCTCATTGGGAGATTATTCCACTAGGCCTAACTTCATGTACGCTCAAGCAGTCGCATTCCCAAACCTCACATCATTCACAATGACTGATGGCACAGGGACACTGCACTCAGTCACGTTTCGTGGTGCCTGCAAACCAAGAGGGTCCATATAAAGCCTCCTCATCCGAAAGAGACCCTCCTGAGCTCTTCAGAAAGCAGTATATCTATTGCACTTCTATTCCGGATCCCTCTCAAATTTAAGAAGTGTACTTGAGGGGCACCGAGTAATTATTGGACTTTCTGGCCATGACTGGGAAAGCTATGCTAATGAAGCCACAAGCCGTTAAAGCCCAACTCTTCGAAGCACTCGAAAAACCTATCTGCAGGCAGGCTCGTTTGTATGCTACACCCCAGGACTCCATATCCGTGAGTATCTCATCTCTCTCTGTCTCTCTCTCTCTCTCCCTCTCTCTCTCTATTTCAAAATTCTCTCTCTGTATTATATGGGTATATGTATATGTTCATACAGAAGTCGTCGAACGTTCGCCGAAATGACGATAATACTGTAAGATTAGGGTAGCCACCAAAAGCTTATGACATGGCTTACCATAACAGCGAGAAGAACAGCTACCCAGCCATGAAGCAACAGAAATCATACGACGGCAATGCGTGCTACCCACGATGAGCATGATAGGCCATGATAAGAGTCCGAGACGTCGGCAGGGGCCATCCGAGGGCTTCGCCAGAAGCAAACCGCTCCTCCGAGGGCGTCTCAAGACTCAGATTCCGTATCCTAGGATACAGTGGAGACTATAGGTAACCCTTATAGAAACGTTACGGTAGTCCCTATAGTACCCGTTAAAGGAACTTTATAGTATCCCTTTTGAATCACAACTGTCGGGGTCTATGAGTGGAACCGATGTGTGGAGTCACCTTTCTTTCGACAACCAGCGGTGTGTAGAAACATTCCGTTTCAGGCTGCTGGCAGTTGGACAGAGCTTTCAATTGCAAAGAGCAGCATAATAATACTTGCTTGAACTGGCTCGGCGTCCAACGTGACTGTATAAGCAGGTAAAGGCAGAGGAATCTCACCGAACAGCGAAAGCACAATCCAATGTTTATATTACTGTAGGAGTTTGGGCTTTCGGGGTGGGGCTGACACTTGACCTGACAAGCGTTGAAACACGTCTCTAAAGCACCAAACCCTCAACCATCAACCATTCAACCCAAACACCAACAGAACCAGTTGAACGCGTCTCCTGCCTACTAAAGCCAACTAAACCTTCTCTCCGATGGAATCCTGTTCATCCCTAAACCCTAAACCCTAAACAGGTTCCCTGTTAATCAGCCCGGTTCAAACAGTCATGAGCCCAAGGGCCTGCTTTTGAAACCAAAAGCTGAACTAAACTGAGCCCCAAACCGCCCTGAACCCTACACCCTATTTAGGGGTTTAGGGTTTAGGGTTTAGGGGTTTAGGGTTTAGGGTTTAGGGGTTTAGGGTTTAGGGTTTAGGTTTTTGAGTTTAGGGATAACTAAACCGCCCTAAATCCGTATCCCCCAAACCAAAACAAACAAAAGGATTGAGCCTGAGCCCCTGGGATGGCTGCCAGCGCCACGGCGACAGCGCTGGAAAGGATGCATGCATAACCTGGGCGACAAGGGCACTAGGTTCCATGTGGGTTTCGTGGGTTTAGGGATTGATTAGGGCGACGAGGGTTCTGTAGGAGCTTCTATAGTGTTGAGGAGATGCCGGGTAGGGGCTTGAGGCTTTGAGCTTTAAAGGTTAGGGTTCAGCGGGTTTGGGGCTGAGGGGGTTTAGAGTTTGAGGTTTAGGATTTATGGGATTTCGGGTAGAGGTTTGAGGTGATGACGGTTCTGTATGGATTCGAGAACGGATCCTACAGGCACTTTGCAGCCAACTAAGCCCTTGAACCGGGCTGCAACTACTGCACGCTAAACCCTAAACCACACAAAGGAATTCCTCTTTTTGCAGCTGCCGGATCGTTTTGTATGCAGTATCTAATATAGGCTAACCGTAGAGCGATTCTCGGGTTTACAGGGCATAATGCATACATAACTTCGGGGTATCACGGTATAATTATTGTATAAAAGGAACTACAGGCAAACATGAGCGTAATTAGTGCTTTAGGCCTGTCTGGAGCCTCAACAGTAAAGACCTTTCGATCAAAACCACGAAGGAACCCTTAAACCCTTGAGCCGGCAGCTAAACTTGTACCATGTCACGTAATTACACACTTCCGTTTATGGGCAAGACTCCACATCATGGACAATGACTCATCTGATAGCCAGACTCTGCCCCGGACCAAATCGCAGGGACCCAGAGCACTCGTCCACTTAGCAACCCCAAAATCCAAAACCCACTATAAAACCCTCATATAATCCGACAAAGCCTTACTCATAACCTCCATAAGGAGGTAAAACCCTAAAGCCCTAAACCCTATAACACCTGGGAGAAGAAGCCAGCCGCCTTCAGGGCAGATGATCTCCGAGATCACGGCCACCACCAAAGCGACGGAGAGCCTCGGAAATGCTATACCGTTTTTGAAGAGTTCAGCACAGCTTTCGTCGATGTCTATTTGAATTCTTTAGGATGTTACCGGCTTGACATATTAGCCCATTTCCGCCCGTCAAGCCTTGTTTGTAATCAGCCCTCTTCATGTAGCTCCGGTTGTCTCCGTGGCCTGCAAGAATATGCCGGCTTGGATAATTTTTCACATCGCCCCCCCACCCCCACATAAACTCTTGCAAAACCCTTGTAAAGCCTGTCGAGACCCTGTCTTATTGAAGCCCATATAGAAACTCCGCATGGAACCCGCTCGAAGACCTTCGTGCGGGTTGCAAAAACAGCAAGTATCAATGCCCAAGGCGCGTGATGGCGTAGTCTGCCAGGGAGTGCGCCCTCGGAAAAGCTTTCAGGTGGGGCTTCGTCTGGGATCATTAGAGTCCCTAAACCCTAAACCCTTAAGTTCTGAACCCTATCATTAGAGGCTTCTATCAAGTGTTCAGTAAGTGCTGTCTAGCTGTGAAGGAGTGTAGCTTTTAGGGTTCAGGGCTTAAGCCTTTTGCGTTTAGGGCTTACGGCTTTGGGTTTAGGAGTTACGGTTTTGGGTACTTCGTCGTCAGGTTTTTCGGCAGAGCTTCATCTGCTTGAGGGACTTACAGTCGAAGCCCAAAAGTTGGAAACCCGATAGCCTTAATCCTTCAGAGTAATGTAGAAGGAATCCCAGCACTGTTTGACCTTAATCAGGTTTCCAACTTTATGGGGTTTACTGCAGAATGCTGGAAACTGGAGAAAGTCAGGGTTTATGCAGGGCTCTGGATGCATAGGGTGTTGATCAATTTCTGCTCGAACGTAGCGGTTTAGGTGTTTTCCTTTTTGAACGTCAGGGCTCAAGGTATGCCCTATTCTGCTTTACACGGTGTGCTAATCAGGCCTCTCAGTGGCGAAAATTTGGAAGTGGACTAGTCAGACCCCGTACTACTCAATGGGGAGAGCGTGCCAACAACAGGGTCCTAAGGTGGTAATAGAAAGACAGAAGACTGGTAAGCTGAAGCGGCCTGCTGTAAGGGTCCCTGTATTACCTGGTCGGAACTATATAAGAGGCTATGTGACTTCACAGTGTGATGCAGCAAAGACCCAAAGGAATCTCTCACTCGATCTGAAACTCATAAGCCGTTATGCGGACTCGCCTTTGTGGCTCTTACTTCTTACTTCTCTCCGAGGTAAATGATCTAGTATAGTGATCCCCCATAGTAAGACCCCACAGTTGCGGTCACGAACATTCAAAAGGAGCCCGATATACCCTCACCAGAATTACGTCATTTGTGGAAACACTCAAATGCTAAATCCTGAAGCCTGAACCTGAAGAGCGAGACGAGGGTTTTGTTACAGTATTTGGGTCAACCATGAACAAAAAGGCCCTAAACGCTTAATTCATAGTCTTCAGCTCTTAACCCATAAATGTAAATTTATACCCTTGGGCTTCTAACCTTGAGCCGACTTGAAGCCCAAAACCTTGACCCCAAGTCCAAAACGGGTTTAGGGTTTAGGTTACAAGAACAGCCGCAGCAACCGTCTAGCAGTCAACAAAAAGTAGCTCTGCAGCTAGGGCACTTTGTCGTTGTGTCGTCACCGCTGAAAACACCAAACTCTTCGAGGTCTTCCTTTGGTTTGCTGTCATAAGGCTCTGTGTATCATTCGGGCTCCGGCATCAAGTGCATAATGAGCAGTTCAGTTCCTGTATTCTCACCAAAAAACCACTAACCAAAACCTCTAAACTAAACCCTAAACCCTAAACTCCTAAACCCTGAACCCCTAAACCCTAGGGTTCGGGGGTTTTCACTTTCGGCTTTAGGCTGCTTTCAGGTTTGGGGGCGGCATTACGCTGCTCAAAACGGGCGATGGTGTAAGGGTGAGATAGAAAGCCAGTTGCCTCCACTTCAGTCTAATTAGGATGTCCTTAAGGGGGGGTGGTCCAAGGGGGGTAGGTAACCTAGTAATCCCCATTCTTCCCCAATACTCCCTAAGCTTCCCTAAGGTTCCCCAAAGCTCCCTAGTACCCTCCCCCCTTGAACCACCCCCCCTTAAGGATCCTATAATCTAACCCCCAACCTCGAGAAACTCTTTAAGGTAACCTGGAAACTCTTAAAGGTTCGATCCTCCGAAGCCTAACCCTATCCCCTTTCAAGAAAAACCTGGACCCTAAACCCTCGGATCCTCCTCCGAACTCTTGATAAGGAACTGTGTTAAAGCTGTGGCATCTTAAATTATCCGCCTTAACAAGATCACAGTATTGAAACCAGACGTAGTGTATTTCTTGGTTTTCTCTGAATCTCAGCTTGGGATGCCAGGCACGAATAGGAATGAAGAGGGATGGAGTTTGGACCAAGGGTTTATACTTCTTAGAGCTTAGAGTTTAGGGTGCTTGGTCTGGGGAGGTTCGGGGGCCCATTCGTATGGACTGGGATTCCAGAAGTTGATGCTCAAGGTGCAGGTTTAGGGTTTATGGTTTAGGGGTTTAGGGTTTAGGGGTTTCGGGTTTAGGGCTTAGGTTCTTGGAGCTTTGTCATTGTTCCGGGTTTCCAGTTCAGCCTTCACGGCCAGGGTTTCAAGGGCGAGGTTAGTGGTTCTGGGTAGCAGGTTAGTAGGCACAACGCAAGCCGACCAAAGGCCCAGGACTGCAAGATCAACCTTCTTCTTAAGCCGTAAGAAGCAACACCTAAACCCTCAGCTAGAGCAACAGCCGGCGCAGGTCACAACAACCTTGCAGAAGGTTCTATGCAGCTATCATATCAAGCAGTGATAGTTAAGCGACTATGTCACTATGGATACTGCTCAAACTTGAAGGAACAAAAAGTCAGAGTATCTGGAACATCCTACGCTATAATGCCAGGAGAATAGTCGCTTGATTCGGAGCTGGCTGGTGATGTCATCTTGTCGTATTTAAGGTCTAACTCATCTTTGAGATTTCAGATTTACCCTAAACTGGCAGAATTGTTTGTTTATTTTGTTATACTTGGAGGTTCATGGGTAGTTACAAGTAGGGCTACAAGTAGGGTAACTATACTTATAAACCATATTCGGGGACTTATAACCCCCCCTCCGCTTACACCTACCCATGAACCTCCAAGTAGGGTTTAAGCCACCCTGAACCCTAAACATCCCTAAACCCTAAAGCCCCAAAGTAGTTCCTTTTTGGGGTTCATACTTAGAATCTTATTATATAGGTAATCCCAAAAAGGAACTACTTTGGGGCCTATGGGTGAACCCTAAAGGGTCTCCGAAAGATCCCCCATCAGAAGACCAGGCATTCTGTGGGTTATTTCGGGTCGCGTTTGAGGGTACTCCAACTTGGATCCCGTCCGGATAGCTATGTAACCCTAAAGGACTGAACCCCAAAACCTTAAAGCCCTAAGCCTCAAAAACCATAAAGCCCTAAGCCCTAAACCCTAGGGTTGCGACATCTGGGGTTCATGTTCTGGTACTCTAGTCGAGGGCAGACCCATGCCCCTGAACGCTAGACCGTAGTCAAGCTGCTGAACCTCAACACTGATCTTTAAGCTCCGAGCACTGTCTGCTAAGATCGTCTCCCCGCGCTGGGATGGTATTCTGCAAGACATCGCTTGCTGGCATTTGAACAGCACACTCTCCTTGTACTTGTTGGCATAAAGCCAGCCGGAGAGTAGTGGCTCGGCAGCTTTCTTGTTGCGATGCCGGCATATCGACGGTCTTTGCGGTCGATATGGGAGTTTCCGAAAATAGGGGACCCTAATATGGTACCCTAAATAGTCGGATCCTTATTATAAGGACCCCAAAATAAGGTACCCCCCTATTTTGGGAAACTCCCATATGCCATCCCGGGAACTCGCCTGAGGCTTGCCACCGAAGCCTTGTTCCCGAAGGGGTGACGTTCCCTGGGCCTCACCCGGACCCAAAGGCTCCATGTACCTTTATAGTAGATACTCCGGCCGTAAAGGGGTCCCTATATAGGTACTTTAAGGCCTAAGTATATACTAGGTGAAAACCAAGCCAGTCACTGCGTCTTTGCGCAGTCGAATGACGCCGGAAAAGGCCTCGGACAGTTTTAGGGTTTGAAGGCACACCTTCCCTGGGCCACCCAAAGCTTTCTAGGCTCGCGATCCACAAGGCTTTCCGAAAATTAAGGATACCTTATTTTGGCTTAGAATAAGGATCCTACAGTTTAGGGTACTATATCACGATCCCCTATTTTCGGAACCTCCCACAAGTCAGGATCTTGCATGCTCATGGCGCTGCAGGAGCCAATGACCGCCCAAACCCTTCCTGTGTCGTCGCACCTTTGTCGCCCAAAACCCTACCCAAAGAGCCCAAGATCCCTTAATTAAGGAATATGGCTTAAATCATGATATGAAACCCCTAATAATTTAACGTATATTCCTTAAATAAGGGGTATTGAGCTCTCCGGGTAAGCCCATCTTAATCCTAAACCGCAAGGACTTCAAAACGTCCTCTCGATGTCTTTTCGACCTCCGTCCCGCACTGCGAGCACCCTAAGGGGGGCGGGCAGACCTACATGCTTGGCTTTCGTAGATCACAGTATAGGTAAGTCCGTGTATTAGGGTTTAGCGTGGGGGTTTGGCGAACCCTAAGAAGTAGTATGTTCGTCATTCAGACTTCTATAATACTAAATCGGCTACCTTATTTGCACAGCCGAGAGGCATTGCTCGGAGTGAGGCTAGCCGCAAGCGGAAAGTAGACCTTGCAGGAGCAGAAACAAAAAACGCAGCAGCCCTCCACATTTGGAATATGGCTTCGGCGTACATCTGGTTTAAGCTTAAGCAGAACAGGGCTTTAAAAAACCCTCGTCTATGGCTTCGGCGCATATATGGATCAAGCGGGGGTAGGGATCCGTCCTTCTTCTCACCGGAGCACTGCTGACAAGTTCTACTGGGTTGTAGTTTTGGGGCTCTGAAAAGTATTTATGAATAGGTACCTCTATAGGAACCATATGGGAAATATAAGGAAATCCGCCGAGGCCACAGGCCCAGGCGTCTTGGGGGTTACCTCAGGTTCCCTCCACGCAAAGGTTGGGGTTGAGAGGCCCCCCTAGCATGGTGTATACGACATCCACTGCCCCCTCGTTTTGCCGCTCAAATTTTAATAAGTTTCCCAAATTGCTTGAGGAGGCGCAGGCATGAGGCTTCGGGTTCCGCCGCAGCAGGCCGGGCGCCCAGAGAGCCCAATACCCCATGGAATACCTAGGGTTCCTTTAAGGGGATCCTTTAAGGGATCTATAGGGTTTAGGGTTTCGGGAATACCTTAAATTATTAGGGGCTTCATATTATGATTTAAGCCATATTCCTTAATTAAGGGATCTTGGGCTCTCTGGGTGCAACATAGTGGCCCTCAAAACGTGCTTAAGGTTTCGGGTCTAGGGTATGGCTTTAGGGTTTAGGGCATTATATTATTAGAATAGGCCCCGCTGGAGCCCTGGAAGAAACCCCGGGAGTAAAACCCGAAACAAGACCCCAAACCCCACAGAATCTGTACCCGAAAGCCTCAAACGGTGATCCCTGGACCAGGCCGTAAGCCTAAAACCCCGAAACCCCCACAGCATCAGCCCCAGACCCCAAAACCCAAAACCGAAATCCAAAGCCCTTAAACCCTAAATCCCAAATCCCATTATTCTTAAAGATTATTATTATTATCATTAGTATTTTTTTGTTAATATTAGTATTACTATTGTTATTATTATTGTTATTTTTATTAAACTCCCTACATCCCAAACCCAAAACGCCTCAGCCCCGGGTTCATCGTTGTCAAGGCGCGACGCCTAGGGCGCTGTCTACGGCCAAAGAGGCCGCCATGATCAGCGGCTTCATGCAAAGCCTTAGGTTTTTGGGCCTTTAAAGAGGGTCCGGGTTCTTTTTGGGATCTATACAGGATGTACAAGGGGGTTCTCTAGGGTTTAGGGGTCTGCAGGTTTGGGGTTCGCGGTTCGGTGTTCGTTTGGTTCTGGAAGGGTGAGGGCTCAGACCTTGTCCTTTGAGATTTTGGGTTTAATGGTTTCAGCTTTGCTGCTTCAGGGCTCAGTGTTTGCGTTTGAATCATTTCGGGTAGCGCTTGCTGTTTTGAAAGTAAAAAAATTAATGCTGTGTTCGAAAATCTCTTGACTTTGCTGATTGCTGTGGTTGGAGGTATGGGGTTGAGAGGCTTTGAACATTTAGGGGCTGATCTGAGCATTTTCAGAGGTTGAGGGTCTAGCGCTGGCATATTGAACGGTTTAGGTGTTGGAGGTTGCTTGTGTTTTCCGGTTTCGTCCCCTGAACACAAAACACTGAACACTTCTATTGTTGTTGTGGCTTCGCTTTGCTTTTAAGATTGGCTAATATAGGGGCCCAAATAATTACCAGTACTATTTTGGGGGGTTCCTTAATCTAATTCTAGTATAATGGGCCCCAAACCCTATTCTAATTATTAAGAACCCTACATCCCTCAATCCCTTATAGTAAGCTTATAAAACCCTTTGACGGAACCCTATTCCAATTCTTAAGGCCGCTACGTTAAGGCTTGAAAAAAAAAGGGCCTTGCGCTCCCAAGAGACTCCCTCGCCTAACGGGTTCCTATTCGAGGTGGTTGACAAAATGGTGGGATAAGGGCTCAAGTTTAGGGTTTGAGGGTTAGGACTTAGGGTTTAGGGTTTAGGGTTGCTGACAAGGGTCTACAAAGGTAGGGGGGTTTAGAGCTGTTAGAAGGGGTATATGCTTCAAGACTTTGGGGATTTAGGCGTGTCGGGTGTAAAGACCCACCTTTTTGAGGTTCTTTACTATGGTTTCCAGATACAGATCCCTACAAAGGTAGGTCTTTGGGGCTACAGGTAGGGGTTGGAGGACAGTCCAACAGGGGTCATTGCGGGACAGGAAGGAACACCCTAAACCTTAAACCTTGTGAGGGCTTACAGCCCGAGCACATTCGAAAAGAGAGACGGGAAGGTGAGGGTAAAGCCTGACGGCCTGTCCTGGACAGGTCATCGACTATTGGCCTTGCTAGCCGTACCCAGACCACCTTAGCGTATCTGCTGCACCATTTGCTGGGCGACCGCACCCAGAATCCTGAAGCTGTCCTGCCTGCTCCCCCCTGCCCTCCGGCCTGCCTGACCTGCCCTGCCCTGCCCTGCCCCCCTCCCCTGCGCTGCCCTGTCCCTGCCCTGCCCTGCCCTCCTACCCTGCCCTGCCCTGCCTGCATGCCCTGCCCCGCTGTAATTACCCTCAACTTGTTCAAATTCGTCTCCAGATGCGAACGCACAGGGCTTAAGAGGCTTGACTGCGGACGAGGGGGCAGCCCTGTCTGCCCCGTCTTCATGGAAGACTCCGCAGCTGTTCCTCACCTCGCACTTTTTTCTGACCTCACATTTCTGTGCCAGAGGCAGTTCATGTTGCGGGAGCTCCACTCCCACGTTGTGGCCGTTTAGGACCTGTTCATGCAGTGGCTTCTCCCCTCTGCCCTCACCTAGCACTCTTTTCTGACCTCACCCCTCGGTGCCCGTGCCAGAGCAGTTCATGGTAGGCGCTCGTCATGGCCGTTTAGGACCTGTTCATGTAGCGGCTTTTGCCCTCAACTGTCACGAAAGCGCGCCTTCGGGTGCCGGAGCTCGACGAGCCGCCAGTCCTTGCCGACAGCGCGCGTCGTTGTGCTTTTGCTGCCGAGCTGAGGCTCTGGCGGTCGCCCGTTCGGGTCGTCGTCGCACGCCAATGACGCGGCTTTGGCTCGCGCCAGTTGTTCCGCCTCCTCACAGGGCTGGATTCATGTCTGCGCTTTGCCTTTGGGTTTGGTCCTCCGCATCCGTCGTGGCGCACAGCGACTCGCCCTGGTGCTTGTGCTCACATATTGCTCTCCGTGCCTACAGGTACAGCCTTGCCTCTGGCATGTTTTTGCCTGTCTCCTCCGGGACGGGGCAGCACCCACTGTGAAGTTTATGCGTTCTGTCCTCGGCATTTACCTCGTCGTCTTGCTCCTGCGGGCTGCTCGATTTTCGAAGCCTTCCTGGTTCCAACAACTGCTCCGGACCTCCAGCATACGCCAGAACTCCGCCACCTCCTTACAGGACCCTTCTACACTTCGGTCGCTGTCATGCGAGCCTCCGCGCCTCGTCTGTGGTGCTGTTACCGTTGGTGGCCTCTTCCTATGGTTACAAAACAAGTCCTCGCTGCAACTTCTAGGGCCCGACTGCCTCCTGCACGTCCAGGTGCGGGCGTAGGCACACCTACCCACTCGGGGACACACCCAAGGCTTCGCTTTTACGGACGCGGCGGGGATGGCCGTGGTCTCCTTGCAATCTTTCGAGCTTCAGTCGAGTCTATCTTCCCTCTGACTACGCTCCTCCGCGGTCGTGGCGTTGTTCGCCTCCGCCTCGCGGAATGCTTGTTTCTGGCTCTGCCACATATCGCGAGGTCCAGCCTGCATAACGCGGGTTTTCCCACGGCTTCTTTCTCTCTGAGTTCGACGCGTTCTTTGTCCACGCCTCAGACTGCGTCTTTCACAAAATTTTTGTTCTTTGCGGACTCTTGTCGCCGAGTCTCGTAGTGTGCCGCGTAGTGCACTTGCACCTCCTGGACAAAATAACACACGGCTGAAGCTTCGGCCCGGTCTCACCTGCCTGCTCGTCTGGCTCCCGATCCCACAACTTCGCCAGTTGTTGCTTCAGAGCCGCCAGGTCCTGCGCACGGGTTTGCCCGACTTCCTTTTCGCCGCCTTATACAGCCGAGCCTCCTGTAGTCGCAGTGCAGCTGCTGCTGCGGCCCGCTTCTTGGCGCGCCAGGTGCGCTTCTGCACTCTTTGTTTTTCTCTGATGGCCTCCAGCTTTCTTTTGGCCTGGCTCAAATGCTTTAAGTCGAAATGCCTGTCACCGCGGCCGGACCTCTGCGTCGCCGTTACCAGCGCCGGCTTTCAGCTCGGCTCTCAGGCGTTTGCGCCGGAGGTTCTCCGTGCGCTTGGCCGCTTTGCGGGCCTGCCCGCCGATATCGGTACGCTACCCTCTGAGCGAGACTTCAACCATCCTCGCCTCGAGCCATGCCTCTGCCTTCCGCGCTGCTTCGCGCGCCGCTTTTGCTTCGGCTTTGGCCTTGGCTTTCGCCTTGGCCCTGGCCGCTTTCTCCTTCCTCGCGGCCTTCCTCGCGCTTGGCGTTTCCTACAGACACTGCATGGATGCATGGTTCCATCTCCACGGCCTCTATCTCTCATCTTGCGCCTCCTGCAGCGCTCGTCGTTCCCGGGTGTGCCGGGCGAGGCGCGTCTGCAACCACCCTTGGATGGCGCCACGATGCACCCGGATGGCGGCCGGGTCGCAGCGGAGCTCCTGCGCCTCGCGGTCCAAAGCCGCCGAATGTCGATTTAGTCATGCCTGCTGCTTTTCTGGAGGCCATTTCCAAAGCGACGCGCAAAATCATATCCAAAAAACCCTAAACCCTAATAGAGTATAGTTTGGGTGGCCGGGGTGGGTTTACAAGCAACGCGAGCGCGCGGCCCGGGGTGCTTCACACCCGAGCGCGCGACCTCGCCAGACACACCCTAAACCCTAAATCCTAAAGCCGAAACCCCCAGAGGCTTCAACCGTTACAGTCCGAAACAAGGGCCCCAAGTAAGCGTGAACCTCAAACGCTGAAGAGTTGAGGGAGGGTCCAGCGTTTCGGATTCGGGGCTTGGAGTGTGGGATTCCTCAAGTTTAAGCGTTTAAGCTGTATGCCGGAGATCATGCCAAGCAGCCCTCTGCACAAGACTCTACTCCCACACCATGCTTACGAACTTTCCGTGCCCCAACGCGAAAGGCTGATCTGCGACCAAGTTACGCCTGGGCAACGACCACGAAGTTCATGCCACTGCCTAATAATGGCAGTGGCTTCGGAGCTCAAACCGAAGAGGGAAACCCGAAACTAAACCCCGGACATCAAGCCCTACATCCTACGGAGCCTACCTTGTTGGTACTTAATTAGGGGACAGGTACCTCCAACTTTGGTGGGGGAGTGAGGAGACGAAACGAAACACTGAAGCTTCAAGTGGCCCTTAACAGGGTCCTACACGTATCATGAGGGTTCTATACTGCTTCTGTGGAGGTGGAGTTACCCAGAGAGCCCAATACCCCTTAATTAAGGAATATACCTTAAATCAAACTTAAATCATAATATGAAGCCCCTAATAATTTCAGGTATATTCTTGGGCTTGGGCTGGTTTTTACGGCATAGGGCTCAGCTGCATGCCCTACCTGCCACCCTGCAACGTCCGTCCCAAAACAAGTGCTCCGAGCCCAAGGCCTGTCCAAGATCCAGAACCACACGTTAAACTTTAGACTACTAGGATGCCCAGTCAGTAACCTAGGAAGAAAAAGGGCTTCCTTTTTGGTATTGGGTACCTGTATAAAGGAACCTATGACTACAAAAAGGGAATAAGGGTACTACTGGGTCTCCTAGACTATGTTCGTTGTAGGCTTTACGATTTTTGCCGAAGGGCTTTGAGTCCAAACGCTAGACCCTGAACTATGAATGCTGGAACCCTCAGCCCTAGTATAGGGAATCAGTAATTTGAACAGGGTTTCGGGTGTGTTAGACTTTTCTATAATCCAGGAACCCTCCAATCTGAACTTTAAATTACTTCGAGTGTCCGATGTTCTTTGCCGCCAGCGCCGCTATGGCAGTCGCCCTTATCTCCAGGAGCACGATGTTTGGGTTCAGGGCTTGATGGTCTAAAGGTTTTGAGTTCACTCCAATTTACGGTTTAAGGTTTAGAGTTTTGGGTTTTGGGGCTGAGGGTTTGGAGCTGCCTGGAGATTTCTTGACATGATACGCCGGGGAGTGGGTGAAGGAGGCTGTGGAAAGACAGAGAAGCCATGAGAAGGAACCACAAAAAAACACGTTTGCAAGGGTAATATAGGGGCCTCAATAATTAGAATAGGGTCTTGGGGCCCATGATACTATAATTATAATAAGGAACACCCCAAAATAGTAGAAGTAATTCTTGAGGCCCCAATATGAGGCTGGGTCTCAATTGCATGGGGTCAACTCAAGGAGATGCTCAAATCTGAGGCTGCGACGCCTGCTCCCAACCTGCCCGGAAGAGTTTCGGATTGATAGGGCTTGTAGGCCCTAAACCCTAAACCCTAAACCCTTAACCCTTAAACCCTAAACCCTTAAACCCTAAACCCTAAATCCTAAACCCTTAAACCCTAAACCCCTAAACCCTAAACCCTCAAACCCTAAACCCTAAACCCTAAATCCTAAACCCTAAACCGTAGGGTTCAGGGCTTAGGTTCAGGGTTTGAGGTGGTGGTTTTAGCAAAACCTTGTTTTCATAATTAAGGCTCCATTCTGGGAGCTCTTAGCGTTGCTTAAGCTTTAGGAGGCCTTTTCTAGTACAATTGGGTAACCTGGGGGCCTAAATAGTAGAATCGAGGTTTGAGATATAATGTACTATGGGCAGAAAAAGGAGCACTCGTGTTGTTGCAGGTTAGATGTGCATTTGTCTTCGCGCTGACCATCAACCCCGACAGAGTCTGTTAATCTGATCTGTTGCATGCAGGGGCTGGTTGGACTCTGAATGCCAATGCAACTTCATCATGTCCACGTTCGTTCGGAATACCGCTGGCTCTGAAAAACCTTCTTGAGCGCTTGATGTGTGTACCGGTACCGGTCTGGAGGAGCAGCGGGCCATGCTGTGAGCCCTCAAAGAAAGTCCTCGGCGGAAGCACAGGTGCATCTGTCGCGTCCAAGGTCTCCACACGGCAGTTCGAAACACGGTTGTGGCTGCCGATATTTGCCAGTGCAATCCTTTGCCCGGCACCGTTAGATATCCATCATGCAGCCCGATCACCACCTGAAGATGCTGGTTGAAAGCATGCACTGTGAAACCTCTAAACCCTGACCTCGCAGGGAACATGTAGCTGTATGTATACATATATGACGTGTGTATATGTATATATATATATATATATATATATGTCTCAGTCACCAAACATACCTACCCCTTAACCCTGAACCCTTGAACCCACCCCACGGCTTAGATAGCTAGGGCTTGGGGTGCAGGGCTCATGGTTAGGATACTTATGGCATACGGTTCACGGTTAGGCCCCATGGTCAGTAATGATAGATATGGGTGGTTGTCAATACTAGGGTCCCTTTATCGGTCCTTATTATAACACAGCACCTACTATTTAGGGTACCCAAGCAGGGACCCTAATTTTGGCAACCGCCCAGATATGTTTCGGGATCAGGCTTTGGGGATGCTATAAACCTGTATCACGAAGAAGCCAGGTACCCACCCGAACTTGGAAACCTATATCCTCGGCCTTGAACTCCGTAAATTACTAAGCCCTAAATAGAGAGGCCTCCACAGGCAGTAGCCAGAGGTCCTCGAATCAGAGCCTAAATCCTAAATCTCACCTGAAACCCTAAAGCCTACACCCAAACCCCTAAAATGCTAACCATAAACCCTGACGGGCCTCAACAGGCAGCTGCCGGAAATTTTAAATCTACAAGCCCCCCGGCCCCTATAAATCCTAAACCCCAGAGCCCAAACTACTAAGCCCTAAATAGCACCTGAACCCCGACAAGCAGATGCCGCAACCGAAACCCAAAAAATTGCTAAACCCCAAAACCATCAAATCCCTACACCGAAAACCCTACGTTTCTGAGACCCCTGAACACCCTGAACCAAAAACCCCAAACTACTAAACGCTAAACTTACCTTGGGTTAGTAGGGAATGGAGGAATGGGGTACAAGTATAACTACTATTACTACCATTCTTCCATTCCCTACTAACCAGTGGTAAATACACCCTGACGGGCCTCCACAGGCAGTAGCGGAAAATCCTACATCTACAAGCCCCCCCCCCCCGCACCCCTATAAATCCTAAACCCTAGATCCTAAATTACTAAGCCCTAAATAGCACCTGAACCCTGACAAGCAAATCCCAAACACCCTAAACCAAAACCCTAAACTGCCAAACAAAAAGCCCTGACGGGCCTCCACAGGCAGTAGCCAAGGGTCCCCGAAACAGCGCCGCAGCGAGGCCCGAGGCGAAGATCGTGGAGGCGGCGCCCACGAGCTGGCACGGGAGCTTTAGGTTTTCTAGGGTTCAGGGTTCCTTTAAAGGGTTTGAGGTTTGGGGTGTAGGGTTCGGGGTTCCTAAGCGTGGTTCAGGGTTTGGGGTCTAGGGTTCAGGGTCTCGGGCAAGGTTCCTTTAATAAAGGGGTTCTACGAGCATTTGTAGGATTTGTAGTAGGGTTTTAGGTTGTGAATATAAGGGCTTTGGCAATCAACATATATAGGGCTTTGGAGTATGATGTAATCAAGTAATACTCTACCGATCCTGCCCCTAGCCCGAAGGGTCTGTCTGAGCCCTCATGTCATTTAAACGAAAAGACCATGCTGCAGAAAGCGTTCTGGGGTGAACCCATGTACTATACCCCCTAGAACCATACTAACCACAATAATGCCAATATTAACTTGGGCTGTGAATGAACAAAACTATTCATAAGGACTTTAGAGCAATGCTAACCATAATAATGCTAAACTTCTCTTGGGCTTTATAAAATGAACAAGATAATTCCTAAGCTCAGTCTCACCGAGCCGCAAATGCCATCAGAAGGCGACGGGTGCTTTGCCCCATGACCTGCGAACCGAGGAGCTATACAGTCTACAATGCGGGCCTTACGTGGCAGCGAAAAACGTTTTTGGCTAACATAGGGGCCTTAATAAATTAGAATAGGGTTGGGCCATGATACTATAATAGAATGAGGAACTAGTATAGGTATTTATCAAGGCCCCTATACTATATCCTTATAATAGCCCTTATCGTAATCCTTATAGACCCCTTTGAAAGGAACCCACCAAAATAGTTTAGGTAATTATTAGGGCCCTTATGGTAACGCTCTGGAGCTTCGGGAATCGGGTTTTGCGAAGTTCGACTCAAGGCTGTCGCAAGCCGCAGTGTATGAATGGGCAGTTGCAAAAATTGAGGTCCCTTTCTGGATACCATTAGAGTAGGATTGTTAATATGATTTAAGGTACACTATATTCCTTAATTAAGGGATATTGGTATGGGTAGTTGTCCAAATTAAGGTGCCTTTCTGGGTACCCTACATAATAGGTGCCGGATTAAAACCGGGACCCAAAAAAGAGACCATAATTTTGACAACGTACGCGCCCCACTTCGGCACAACACCAAGATGCAGACCGCACGTTGAAAGCTGAACCCCTGTGGAAACCTCGCCTCCAAACCCCTACCCCCCCTTAGAACCACAACAAACATGGTATTGTTAACAAACCTTGAAGCCCAAATCAGGGAAGATTTTCATGGAACTCCGTGAACAATCCTTGCACCCAGGCAGATGCTTTGTTTAGAGCTAAAGGCTCATCGGCTGAGGGTTTAGGTTTAAGTTGCCTACGAGACGTCAGG